CGCCTCAGACCCTTCTCCTTCCTGCACTCCTACATCACCGATACAACTTCGTCATAGATCTGTCTACCCGTTTCGAGGAAATTGCAACTCAGACATAATAGCCGCCCATCCCCAGTCGGCGCCATCCATCTATCTTGTCTTGTCTTGCTCTTTCCATGATTCTGAGCCGCCTGCTAAAGACTCGACTGCCAGAGACCTACGTCAAAAGCCAAAAATGCAGGTAGTTCAGGTCCCTGTGACCGTCCCCGACTCCTCGTCCATGGAGACCTCTACGTCGCCTACATCTCCCACATCATCTGGCGATGAGAGCCAGGTTGCGCCCGAAACGATGCCTCGTCAACCCGCCCCGAGCAAGGCCTTCCCCTTCAAGCGTCCGGAGATCGATTTGAGTGCTATGCTTAATATTGAGCAGATGAAGCAGCTGCAAGTCCTTGTTGGGGCCATCATGGACGAACTCCAGATGCAAGTCCGTGACAACTTTGACAAGATGACCATCACCCCAGTTGAGCCTACCGAAGGCATTACTACCCCCAGGGCGATAGTTCTCTCGGTCCCCAATCCAGGAAGTGATAAGTACCGCAGTCAGTATGGAAACATAGGCATACCAGTCGATAAACCCGACTTTGAGGATCATGACCTTCTGTTACATATAATGAAATCTCATCATATCAACGAAAATACAGCCCGGCCCAAGCCCGTCTTAACGATACCTAAATCGCCTGATGAGGCTACAGCTTGCTCTAAGAAGACTGAGACCGAGCTAGCTATGGCTAGTTTAACCGAGCTGAAGCGTGATGCTCTGGGCCACTTCGGAAAGTGGCGCGGACTTGTCTTCAAGCGACTACAAGAGATCGTCATCAGGAACGGTGGCACCGGTGGCAACGTTGTTCGCCAAGGACCACAACAAGCACCAGGTAATACCAGACGGGTCGGTTTTACCGCGAGAGGAAGTTCTGCCAGGCCGGCTGGTAAGTTCTTCCTCTACGGTGGCCGCAGGAATACGTCGAGTTTTGTTTTACCCAAAACTGATCCTCTTCGTCCCACTAGAGTGTCTATGAAATGAGATAACTGACGATTTCCCACAGTGCCCCCCCTGCTGACCGGTGATGCGTCTAATGCCCAGCATATCCAGCTCTATCCTCCCATGTACACAGCACTTTGCGGCCTCCCGAAGGAGAAGCGTGCGTTAATTCTACATATAATGCTCTTGATGCTTCTAGGGCTTGACCAATACACCACGTACTCTCGCATTGCACTCGTAAAGCTTGCCACTGCAATGGAGGTGCCAACCTTTGTGCTGCTACAGGACGAGTATCGAGTCTCCCAAGCCTTGGCCCAAATCATCAAGGGTATTTCTGCCGAGGAGGTTGCCCAGAAGCGCGCAGAAGAGGGCAAGCCGTCCAAGCGATGGCGTGCCAACGGTACTCATAATGCTGCTGCCCCCGGCTTTTCCGACGTCCTCGCAGAGCCCCTTGTAGCTGCGGGGATCGGAACGGTTTTCGGGGGAATCGGGCTTAGTACATCGGTCACGGCGACTTTGTTGGGTGGTATCGGCGCGGCGGATAGCACCGTCCCTGTTGGAACCCTGTTCGGGCTGTACGGAGCCCGGCAGGGCGGCAAGACGATGGATGCGTATGCGAAAGACATACAAGACTTTGCCTTGATACCAATGCATGGCTCTCCACAGTCTGAGCTCCTCGATCCTAAAGACGTACCGGCAGAGAACCGTCGGATGCGTGTCACAATTGGCATTAGCGGTTGGACTACCGAAGAGAACGACTTCAGATATCCGTGGAAGGTCTTTGGTAAATTGAACGAGGTATACGCCCTCCGATGGGAGCTTGAGGCTTTGTCAAAGGTCGGTGCTGCCGTGCAGACGGTGATGAAGAGTACAGCTTGGAGCGGTGCTAGGAAGGACAGTATTCGGCAAAACGGTAAGGGAGCTATATGCATATAATAAGGATGAATATTGACAACACCAGTTTTTACTAGTCTGAAGACCTCCCACTGGCCAAATACTCTTATTAAGGCTAGCAAGGTCATAGACAACCCCTGGACGGTTGCGATGGTTCGGGCTGAGAAGACAGGACTCGTGCTAGCAGAAATTTTAACAAACAAGGTCCAGGGAGAGAGGGCGGTTTCTTTAGTCGGTTATGGACTTGGCGCCCGGGTTATCTACGCCTGTCTAACCTCGTTGTCTGAGAAGAGAGCTTTTGGCGTTGTCGAAAATGTTGTCTTATTTGGCGCGCCCTGTCCCTCTGAGATCCGTGTTTGGACGGCAATGAAAAGCGTCGTCACAGGCCGACTAATCAATGTTTACTCCAAAAACGACTACCTTCTTGGTTTTCTTTATAGAAGCTGCGCTTGGCACTTCGGTATTGCAGGTTTACAGGCCATTGAGGGTGTGCCTCGAGTTGAGAATGTCGATCTGAGCGACAGCATCAGCAACCATCTTCATTATCAGTACCACATTGGTAGTATCTTACTCCAGCTTCGTTGGGAGGACGTGGATTCTAGCGAAATCAACAAGGAACTGCCGAAGCGATCGCTTGCGATGCACCAAGAGCGAAGCTTTATGCCGGGACGAGGTGATAAAGCTGGTCCAGCCCTTGAAGAGCAAAACAGAAATATCATTACGGAACCAAAGATCGGCCAAAACCAAAAAGACAGAGCCGTTTCCAAGAAACCAAATGGTAGGGGAGTACCGAGGGACAAGCCTGCGGCTAAGCAATCGAATAGCAAAGCAAAACAAACACCGAACCTGGGCAGCCATCATGTGCATGCGCACAAAGATCAAGAAAACTCCAAACCGCGCCACAAACAAAACCGCATGGAGAATCAGCGCCCCATGAGAGCTCATCGTTATGAGACGCAATAACTCTCATCATACAGTCTTATTGCAGGTTAGTATTAAACAGGGTAACGAGAGTGTTTGTGTATAGTATATGAATGAATGACGAGCAATTCGGGTGTATATCCAGGGGCGTTAGGAGACGGGCCGGCCGGCTGCATATTTCAACCAAAACCAAAAGATGTCGGTTTGGCATATGTATAAATAAGATATTTCGGTAACTGCTACTTGCTGGAGCACACACCAATAGAGCTTTATAGTATAAGGCACGTCGAGGACACAGCCATAACAAGTGAAGCTGGCATGAGGTGAAGTTGGCGTATGGCTTCCTCCCTGTTCATAGGTATTGAGCTTAGCTTACCAACCACAATTAGCCGATTCTTCATCCCATAGCTTCATTAAACTAAGAGTCTGTTCCTCCGCTCCTAACCACGAAGTATCGCCCTCCTGCCGTCTCTTTCGCGCCGGCCAATACATCCCAACCCTCTTCCTGGTCCAGCGTATGTGTTAGACTTTGTGTCGGCAGCCGCGGCCGCCGCCGCGGGCGTCTCGCTTGGCCAACCATGTCTTCAAACATCAACGTATCCCGCATCTCCTCCAGCCCGATGATCTGCTCGCTGAGCCCCTGCGCCGTCTCATCGCGGATCACGCGTAGGGGTTCTATCCCCGCCGTGTCGACGCTCTGGATCGCGCGCACGAAATGCAGTTGCGAGGACAGCGTCGCGAGCATCTGGGACTCCTCGTCTGGCGTTCGCGGGGGCGGCAGCGCGGAGAGACGGAGTAGGTGGTGCAGCGTCTTCGGCGGTACGGTGGTTGACGGCTCGGACGTGCTCGGCGGGAGGAGAGAGCGGACGGACCACGTCGGCTGCGAGAGGAGCGAGGCGAGGTCTGCCGCTGAGGCGGGTGGGGGTTGCTCGGCGCGCATTGCTTTTCTTACACTTGCTGGCAGTCTCGATCTGGCCCTGGTTTGCTGGCGCGAGGCCCTCGCTGCGTGCCGCCGCAGCAAGAGCCTGCAATTGCTACATATTGTTGAGTTCATGGTAGGCTTAGAGTCGCGAGGAGAGAGTTGTAGAAGGAGTAGCTTGATGGATGACTTTGGTGGGGCGGTAATATGGTAGAAAGCGCGGGCCTCAAGACCCACCCGTTTTCAATTCAGCTAGATATCGACCTAAGCACCTCGATAAATCACTGTAACGACTTCACAAAGAACCGGATTATTATCAATTACATTTCATTACAATAGGCGTTGCGTGTAGGGAAGAAAAAAAAAAAAATACGGCAAGCCATATGCGTGGAAAGAAAAAAAGAGAATATGTGACAAGAGTGGGACTTGAACCCACGCGGATTGCTCCATGAGGAAACTGTGCTAAGGTGACCTTAACCTCACGCCATAACCAACTCGGCCATCTTGCCGCGATGCGCTTATAATGACAGTCGGAAGTTAACAACAGATTATCAAGAAGGCCTGAAATCGGTTTGTTGTCTGGATTCTGTTTGAGATTGGATTTGGTGGGCGACGTAAGTCTGGTGGGCGTCAAACGTGACTACTGGGTGTAGCGGAGTGGAGAGGAGGTTTCAAATGGATCCATGTGGGTTGGTTATGGGTCCTGTGGCCGTGCTTTTTAGCGTGGTGACTTAGTTGGTGGCTGAAGCCACACATATGGTCGATTACGTCATTGCACATTACATTTACCTGATTAAAACTCCTGTCTTTATTGGTGATGTTGATGTAGAAAGGTATCCCTGGGGGGTTTGTTGGTTATGCAATATTGCTGGTGCTGTCTTGTTGCATGGCTGGGCAAATGTTCTGAACCTTGATTGTATAGATCCTAGATCGATCATGTAGATGATGCCCTGCCTGTGAGTACATATTATTATTCCACAGGCAGTAGCTACCTTACCATATGTCTGCTACATACTTAGCAGGTGCCTACGGGAAGATAACAGAGGGTATAAAATACCTAGATGGAGTAAAATGATCGGCTGCTTTGTCCTTTCTCTTTGTGAAATAAGAGGGGGTAGAACTTTGAAAGCAACAGGGCAACAATTAGGTGTATGTACCTAGGTATGCTATACCAAGGTGTGGCTGTCACACCTATAAGTTGGCTACCCGAGTTGTTTTCTCACATCAGTAGTCGTGCTGGTTACGGGCAAGATGGCCGAGTTGGTTATGGCGTGAGGTTAAGGTTACCTTAACACAGTTTCCTCATGGAGCAATCCGCGTGGGTTCGAGTCCCACTCTTGTCATATATTTTTGATTTTTCCTGTCCCTTTTTAAGCATATTCAGTGCTTGGTCTTCTTTTTTGGGTTTTAAGGTGGTCAATGTTAGATAAGACGGGCCACAGAGGTTGTATAGATACAGGTGTTTTAGTATTTAGCGAACGTTAGAAGGGGAAATGTTTAATGGAAAGACAATAGGTACCGAGGTAATCATACCCTAGACTTATAATATATGTACTGATGCGTGTATGTATGTCACCTCGAGTTGGTAGGTATCTGCATCTAAAGGTAGGTAGGCATTCCTATGAGGAAGGGTTCACCCTGCAGACGAGTCTTCCTGCCTATGTCATAGTGGTTGGTACCTAGGTACACTATCGCCCCTAGCGTCTGACACCCCGCCAAACCCACTCGACCGCCTTACCTACCTAAGGTACACTACGTAGGAGAGGTAGGTAATGGGTTAGGTCGGCTACCTAAACCCGGACTTCACAGTATGTGCCTAGCCACGTCTTCTCTTGTTGACAACACCTCAACCTCTATTCACCCTGGACTATTGCGCATTTACTTTAATTTCAATTAACCTACTCCTAGCAGCGTCTCATAATGGCCGGTGATCCTCGCGCGTTGCTGCAAAAGGTTGGATCACTATGCTCTCCCCTCCCCGCTTCATTTGTGCTGATGATCTCTGGGTGTAGGCAGACAAGGCCTTGTCCTCTGCGAGCGGTGGATTTAGTTTCTTCGGTGGGCGCGAAGACAAGTACATGAATGCCGCCGATCTCTACGTCGAAGCCGCCAATGCGTTCCGTATGCAGGGTCTTATGCGAGAGGCTGGCCTCGCCTTCGAGAAGGCCGCTGCTATTCAGGGCCAGAACCTCAAGGAACCCGACGATGCCGCCAACACCATGGTGGAATGCTTCAAGGTAGAACGATGATGACCAAATTTATCATTCTTTAGCTTATAAGGGACCAGGTTTACCGCAAAGAAAACCCCGAAGACGCTGTCAGATGTCTCGAAGTTGCTATCAATCAATACTGCAAAAAAGGAAACTTTAGGCGCGCGGCCCAACACAAAGAGAACCAGGGCGAGGTACTTGAGGTTGAATTAGGTGACAAGAAACGTGCACTTGAGTGTTACGAACTCGCCGCTGGCTGGTACGAGTCAGACAATGCTGCAGCGTAGGTTTCATCACGAGCAACGGCCTCACCGACTTCGCTATTCGCAGGTGCTAATCGTGATGTTTAGACTGGCAAACAAGCTGTTACTTAAGGTCGCGGACCTTGCAGCTTTAGAAGCCGACTACTACAAGGCAATCCAACACTACGAGAAGATCGCAGAGACATCCGTCAATAACAACCTACTGCGTTACTCAGTAAAGGACTACTTTTTGAAAGCAGGCATTTGCCATCTCGCCACCGAGGATATGGTTGGCACGAACCGAGCATTTGAGAAATATAGGGACATGGACCCGACATTCCCTAGCACACGGGAGCACCAGCTGCTTGTAGATCTTGCCGGCGCTATAGAGTCACAAGATTCGGGAGATTTTGAGGACAAGCTATACCAGTTCGATCAGATGTCGAAGCTCGACAAGTGGAAGACTGAAATCCTGCTCCGGATAAAGAACAATATCAAGGAGGAAGACTTCGCATAGGCGGACGATACGGCTTGAGCAGGTTCATTATGGAGTTACGGTGGGATTTGGATTACAACAACTGCGGGGATAAGAACCTATATCATATGCGAGCGTTAATCGGTGTAGGGATTGACTAACCATTGCTGACATAAATGGATAACCATCACCTGATTATAGCGCGTTCCACGTGTTGAATCATGAAGTTATCTACTTAGTAGATAGCTGTCTAAGCTATCTTGGTAGAAGACAGCTTAAGAAGTGATATTGCATGAAGGACAACACTTTGTAAAGCCTACCTAGGTAGGAGGCCAATCCAAAGGGGGCTCGAGCAGTACTCGAGTACCTCTGCGTAAGTACCTAGCCTGGGGGTACATAAGGTAGATTGACGTTGTCTTGGAGCTTGTAGGTGCAGGTGGTTTATGGTGGGGGAGGAGAAATGTGGGGGCTGTGGGTTGTCCTGCGATAAGCCCCGATAACACCAAGAACCAGAAAAAAACCAAAACCCCCCAAGATACCATCTCTCGGAATTCCATCTTTGAGGCCTCGACAAGTCTGTATAATTTGTTTGAGCTTTTCAAGATGGCTACTCTGCAGGAGAAGCTAGACAAGATACGGTCTCCGAATCTTCAAAGCCAGCAGCAGGTGCGCAACTATTCCTTGCACACGGTCCAACCTGTAATCTAACTGACTTCTCTTATATAGACAGTAGTTGTCCTAAAAGCGGTCGAGGAAACGTTGAAGGAGCAGAACGCCTCGCCCACGCCGACTGGGTACTTCGCTGCGCTCCTGGCCTTGCTTAGCCAGTCCGTTGATGAGGGTAAAGGCAACAAAGAGCTGACACCTCCCATCGTATACTTGCTCGATGTCGTTACCCCATTCGCACCGCAACCGCTACTCCGAGCCAAGTTCACACAGATTCTCACGCTCCTCGCGCCCGTACTCCTATTAGCCGGCGCCGATGCCCCTTTGTTGAAGCCCTCAATAGGATGCCTTGAGTCTCTTCTCCTCGCACAGGACTCGGCAGCGTGGAAGCTACCTACCAGCGAGATCAGCCCGCGCAGGGCCGTTGCAGGACTTCTTCATCTAGCATTAGATCCCCGACCAAAAGTACGCAAGCGAGCCCAAGATGCTTTGCGCAAAGTCCTCAAGAATCCTCCACCGAGTCCATCCCTCGACCATCCTGCGTCCGATCTCTGCGCCGAGACAGCGATGAGCAGCTTGTCTGATCTGGCTACTAAGGCTGCTATTTCAAAAAAGCAGAAGAAGCCGTCTGCAGGAGAGCATGATCCGGCGCTGATACATGCCTTGCAACTTGCAAAAACAATTGCTGCAGCAAGCGGAGGCTGGCCAAGCAAAAATCTCGAGTCGCTGTGCGAACTTCTACTTAGCATTGCCAAGGGTGGAAATGAGCACATGACGATGGTCGTTTTTGATATATTTGAAATGATCTTCGAGGGCATGGCTGATGAAGTCGCTTCAGCCAAGCTTCCCCGCCTCCTCGAAATTATCTCCGAAATGCGACCCGCCGCTCACGATACACAGCTACTTCCGCCGTGGATAGCGATCCTGTCCCGTGGCTATGATGTCTCGGCTCAGATCGAACCTGAAGACACGTTCCAAAAATTGCCGGATTTGTTCGCAATGATCTCCGAGTTCATGGACTCATCCTCACATAATATTCGAGTCTCTGCGTCCGAGTGCTTAATCTCCTTTGTAGCAAATTGTGTACCAGACCAGGTCATCATTGAGCCTTCAACTTATGACGAGAAGACGCTAGAGAAAATCGCCAGGCTCGCCGAAGGCCTTATCAGTGTGAAATACCAGGCGGCGTGGATGGAGACATTCAATGTCCTAGGTGCTATATTCGATACCTTGAGGTGGCGGGCCGACCCTATCATGCGTAATGTTGTACGAACCATCGGAGATCTTCGCGGCAATGACTCTTTCGTCGGAAAAAAGCAAGCGGACGAGGTTCTTGGTAAAGCTATACGCGCAATGGGCCCAGAGGCCGTCTTGTCGGTTCTTCCTTTGAACCTCGTTAAACCAGTTAAGGGACAGAACGGGAGGGCGTGGATGCTGCCTATTTTACGAGATTATACATGCAACACCAATCTTCAGCATTTCAGAACCGAGTTCGTACCACTAAGTGAGGCTATGTTTCAACGTGTGCTCGATCACGGCGAAGCGGCGAAAACAATGGAAGTCAAAATATACGAGACACTGGTCAACCAGACCTGGTCCATTCTTCCGGGATATTGTGATCTTCCACTGGATCTGACTACTTCTTTCGATCAAAATTTTGCCGAGATGCTGGCTAACCTCCTATACAAGCAAGTCGATTTGAGACTCGATGTATGCCGAGCCCTCAGATCGTTAGTTGAGTCTAACCAGGCCATTGTCGCTATTGAAGATGGGGATAACCTGCTTCTCCAGAGTAGAGTGTCGAAGGCTGAGGCACAGAAAAACCTGGCCTACCTAGGCGGGTTTTCTGGCAACCTTCTAGCCGTCTTATTCAACGTCTACAGCCAGACCCTTCCCCAGTCCCGAGGACCCATACTACAAACAATAAACGCGTATCTTAGTATCACATCTGAGAACGAGTTGGTTGGCACTTTTGATCGTGTCAGCACGATGCTCGCTACTGCAATCAACGAGGCCAGCAACTCAGAAACCAAAAATAAGTCTCAAAATTCACAGGACAAGATGCCATCAACGAGCCAAACGCTCATGGACTTGGTCATCACTATGTCTGCTTACTTACCACGTCAAAGTTTTCATGCTCTTTTCAGCATTGCTTCCCTAATTATCGTAAAGGACGATGAACCCCAGTTACAGAAAAAGGCGTATAAATTAATACCAAGACTGGCGGACTCTGATACTGGAAAAATTGCACTTCGAGAAAAGCATAGCGAGTTACAAACACTGCTTCTCTCGAGTTCTGAGAAGGTCTCAGCTCCAGCTCGACGAGAGCGACTGGCTGCTATGGCTGCTCTAATTCCCTTCATCCCGGACGACTCTCTCCATTTCATTCCCTCTGTTCTATCTGAGGTGGTAATCTGCTGCAAAGAAAACAATGAAAAGGCAAGAACGATCGCATATGATCTTCTGGTAATGATGGGCCGACGACTAGAAGAAGCGAAAGGCAAACAAATTGATAATAGCAAAGTACCCCATATGCCCGACAATTCGCCATCCGTTTCTGCGAGCATAGAAGAGTTTTTCACAATGGTTAGCGCTGGACTTGCGGGGAGCACACCGCACATGATTTCGGCCTCGATCACTGCTCTAACTCGTATCCTCTATGAGTTTAGAGAATCCGTGAACTCAGGGGTACTCGATGACCTCGTACAGACTATGGATCTCTTTTTGACCTCGAACAATAGAGAGATTGT